CCGGCTTTGAGTCGCGGATCCTCAGTCCATTGGGATCCCGGAGTGTCTGCATCTGGTGGATTGTGGTAGCGAAAGCAATCCGCGCGACAGGCCAGCGAGGATTTGGCTGCAAGCAGACGGGCTGCCTTGCGTCGAATTGTGTCTGGTTGTATTCGGTTCGCGCTGATAGACTTCAACTGGGCTGCGACTAGTGATTTATTTGTGCTCACGGATGCAGTGGCGTCGGCAGCGTTACCGACTTTATCCGCGATCTGGCCAGTGTCCAGTGATGTGTTATCTCGGGTAATTTGGCCGAATAGACCGGTGGAATTAGCTGCCACAGCTCCACTTTTCCTAATTGATGTAAAAGAATCAGTCACATGGTAAGTGAGTATGACGGATATTTTAGTTTGATAAATCAAAGTGGAGACGGCCAATTAAGAAAAGCTTAAATTGCACACTCTACCCTGGTTTCCATTTCACTTCAGATGAGCATCAAACCCTCACAAAAGTATCTGGCTTCAAGTAGCTATACTTCGCCGACAACAGGGGAAAGTGCGAAATTGGAACATTGGCTGAGTGAAAAGTAGGTACCACATTACGGAATTTCTTTAAAAAATCAGAGAAAGACATGGATGTCACAATCAGACAGCACCTGATGTTTCTGGTCTACCTCATTTGATGACTATGAGTTCCAAACAGATCGTCGGATGACCGTATTTAGTTCCGTCGATCAGTGTTCGCCGGATATGTTCATCCCGAGATGTGTAAAATATATGCCCCAACTTGACCTATGGAAATCACGGAAGTGCCTTATATCCCGAAACCCACATGATAACATATCACGTCTGTCTCCAATAGTGGTATCCTATCGGACTAAGGGCTACCAAAGGTGAAAGGGATCATTTAAAGGTAAATTAACATCTTAATTTGTGGCATCAAATTTTAAATAAAAATAAACACACTTAATCTATAGCGTGGTCAGGTCAATCTCTGTATTATGAACAACCCTCTAGTCCTGGCCAATATTTTTCCTGTAACTTTTGTAATCGCACGTGCTACTCCAGCGAATGGACTGCAACTGCTATGATGAACGGCTGAGAGATGTGTGTAATCAGTAAAGCGTGGCTATGATGATTTATCAACAGAAAGAAAATTCCTGCTAAAGTGGAATGATTTGCTTCCGTTGCGAAGTCGAATGGGCTACTATTCCCTCGCCAAACCACAAAACCGTCAGCCGCAGATATTTTTCCCAGACAACCTAAAACATTTGAGGACAAAGCCTAAGCGACCACATTATGACAAGGTGTAAATAAGTTATCAACACCAGTGAAACACCACCCTATTACGACAGGTATCTTCGTTCAAAGTACGTCCCTTGACAATTGGGCATTTCAGTCCTCTTTTTTTCTGTGCAACGAGCATGGACCGTGCAAACAAGCAGGATGGAAAAAATCAATGATGTCCTAACTACCGGGAGTCAAGGTAGCGGAAATTTGCACCCACCATAAAAAACACTATCAAAAAAAATTAGCTGGTTAGCTGTCTTATGCATGCTCGATATTTTTGAAATGATAAGAGGTCAATCTTTCTTGTCACACTCCAGCGCGATGGGTGTATATAATTACTAGATCCGGGTAAAAACGATGTAGCGGTCGGTGGTTTCGATCACCGGGCATAATTGTGGCCACATGGTAAACCGTTAAACGGTCACTATCAAAGCGCTCGAAAAACCTCGATGAATTCCATTTTAACAGCTTGCAAGCCACTGGCGGTATACATTATAGTGATAAATAGAACTTCCGGAATACGGTAAGTTGACAAACACCGCAATAAGTTAGCAGTGAATCAGATAGCTTTACTGGAAGACGGGTGCGAAGGAAGATACTGAACGCATGGTGAGAGTGGCACTCTGGTGAGCACACCGAAAATCTTTTGATCTGGTCACATCTAGGCACAGCAGAAGAAAAATAGACTCCATGTGCAGAGGGGACAAATTGTTGGATCGGTTGGCCATAAACAAAAGGTCGGTCGTGACAACGAAACTTCCGTTTCAGTATACACAAGCATCAACCGTGCAGCTTCCTGAGAAAGTGTAGGCTGCCGTTTCTTGTCTTTCCATTCACGTGAAAAATATATCTATATTTAACACCCATCTTGACAGATACGGCGCCAAAATAACCTTGGGTGAACGAAAAATATAGGTAAAAAGCGGAGAAAGTAAAACTGCCAACTTCGGGGGGCAACATTTTTTGTCTGTTTGTTTACTGCGCGCCATTTTGAGTTTTTATTTTCGTTTTTCATTATTTTTCGGATTGCAGACAGGAGAGAATGCATTCGCGCCACTGACTTCGGTTCGATACAACACCCCACAGCGTCTCCAGCCAAAGACAATCTGAATCTTTGGGGCCCCAGGTGGGAAGCCGAAAAACCCCAACGGAAGCCAGATCCGAGCACAATCTCTTTAACCCTCTGCGCCACGTAATAACCTGCCCACCTCGCTGTTTCTGATGTCTGCAAATAGTGCACGGTGTGGCAGACGGTGCTCAGTGCTCGTAGGACGTGTCCCAGCCACCCAAGACGATGCTGTCAAATTATTTTGCTCAAAGGAAGACTATCTGACTCTAGCACCAGTCGTCTGACTTTATCGTTATTCACGCGATGCTCCCACCATACGCGGGTGATGTTGCGCAGACAACGGTTGTCGAAGACTGATAGTCGCTGGACGTGATCTGCTCGGAGAGGCCAGGTCTCGCAGCCATAAAGCAACACGGTGCGTACACTTGCGCAATACACACGTCCTTTCAGTGAAAGGGTTATGTCGCGCCGGCTCCAGAGATGCGGCAGATTAGTAAACGCTAATCTAGC